TGGTCTCACAACAACAACTAAATTTTTTTTCTAAATCTTTTCCTTGGGTCTAGAATTTTTGTATAAATGGGGAAAAAATTGACCAAAGTAACTTTTTTTCTAAAATCCACCCCCGCCTTTTATTCAATTAAAACTAATTTGGCACTGTTTAAATAGCTATACATGTATATATATACTAATATATATACTAAAACTAATTTGGCACTGTTCAAATAGCTATACATATACAAAACAAAATACTAGTAAAGATTATATTCTACAAGTGACAAGTGTTTTAAGCAGAAATTTAACAAAAATTATCAAAAACTGATTTTTTAGATATCTTATATATTTACTTTTTACAAGTTTTTTACTTTTATTGTAGAATAAAGACTGTGGAGCAATGACAAAGTGTAAACCTAACACAACTCGAAGTACCGACATGATCTAATTGATTGGCCATCCATGTGACATAATAACTGGAGCTCGCCTTCAGAATTTTGTTTACTTCCAGAAGAAGCAGAAACTGACAGTTGCTCAGAGTGCACAGCAAGTACACGACCAACTACTGCCCTTCTGGATGAAATCGAGATTACCGGTCCGACACAAACCAGATATTGTTCAAAAGATTAAAGATCTTTACTCACAGCATGTTGGACTAATGAAACATCGTTCAAGGAATAATGCTAAGGATCAATAGAACCAAAAAGAATACAATGAAAAGCTGGATATTTTGTTTGATATCAGTCATGCTGATTCTGACAATCTTATCAAGAATGAGGAAGACCGACAGTTTCTAAAGTTGCAGAAAGAATCTAGAACCGGATGCAATAAATCTGTGGACAATAAAATGTTTTAAAGGGATAAGCGTTCAGCAAAACGTAAAGAATGATTAGTACTCCAGCAAAGACAAGCTTCAGCAGGACAGCAATTAATGCAGGCAGATGTGGAAACTAAAGATGAAGATGAGGAAACAGCAGAATCATCGAAGTTGTGCTCCTCAGATGATGAAGAATTTATGGATGAATTTGTTGTAAAGTCTCCAACTAATGATAGACCGACCGAAGCAACCCAAGTGTGCTGGTATGATGACTTCAAAAGTGGCTGCTGTATTAGACCGCACAAACATCAGCACTCGTAAATCAACAATGATAATTGCATCAATGGTTAATGAAATTGGATGCTCCACGACATCTGTTGTTCTTTCAAAAAGTACAGTCCATCGTCAACGACAGCTTTTTCGTTGTGAAGCTGCACAGAAGATCGAGGATGACTTTCTACCTAGTAAGTATGTCGTTCATTGGGATGGTAAACTACTACCTGACATCACTGGAGTAGACACCAACCAAGTTGATAGATTGGCAGTTCTTGTTTCTTCACTTGTTGATGGAAATATTAAACTGATGGGAGTGCCAAAGTTGACTTCTGGAACAGGACAAGTGGGATCGGAGGCAGTTCTTGACCAACTCAAATCATGGCAGTGCGATCAACAAGTCATTGGAATGTGCTTTGATACAACAGCCTCAAATACCAGCAGACTGAGTGGAGTCTGCACTCTTCTGGAGAAGGCTCTTGGTCGCAATCTGCTATGGATGGCATGTCATCACCATATGTTTGAGGTGTTGTTGTCTGATGCATATGGAGTGTGTCTAGGTCCGTCAACTGGACGGGATATTTTGATTTTTAAGACAAAAGGTCAGAGTTGGTCCATCGTCAGCCTATGCCACGACCAGTGCCATTGGTGAGTGCAAGTGACAATCTGAAGGAGTTAATTGCTGAGCAGCTTCAACTCAGCCATCCACGAGATGACTATCGAGAATTTCTCCAACTCACGGCTTATAAAATTTTAAAATGCGCTGCAGCAGCACCAGTTCGCAAGCCTGGTGCTGTTCACAGAGCACATTGGATAGCCAAGGCAATTTATGTAATGAAGATAGAATTGCTTTTTGTTGGTAATGAAGCTGTTATACAGTTGACTGCTCGTGAATTACAAGGCATTTAGAGATTTAATAGATTTGTTGTCAAAATCTACATTCAATATTGGTTTTTAAGTCGAACCATTGCTGATGCACAATTGAATGACATTCTATTGATTCAAAGGCCGCTTACGTATGAAGATGCTGCTTTGCAGACAAAAGGTTTGAAGATGATGAAGCGTCACTCCTGGTACCTCAGCCAAGAGCTAGCAACAGTTTCCTTGTTCTCTCAGCATATGTCTTCTAAAGAAAAAACCCAGCTTGTGCCGACAATGAAAAGTGATAGAGGATTGCATTTGCTCAAGTTTCTTCCAAAAACAACAGCGGAATCACTCATTTCTCGAAGTTTCTTCCTAGTTACTGCCATTGATGATAGCTTTCTCGATATTCCAGTGGAAGATTGGCACGAAAACCATTCCTATCAGATGGCACGTCAACTTGTCAATAACTTGCCATGTGTTAATGATTGTGCTGAGCAGGGCGTTGCTCTCATCCAAAATTTTAATGCAGCAATAACAAAGAATGAAGAACAGAAACAATTTCTACTTCAGGTTGTTGAAAAACACAGACAAGACTTTTCCAAATGCAATCGTGACAATCTTGTGGACATTTAGATTTTAGAAGTTATTTATCATATTTAAGAATAAACAATTGAAACCTTGTTGCCATTTTGTATATTAAATTATTGTCTTTAATTGTGTTCAAACGAGCATAAAAAAGTTACGCTTTCTATTGCTAAGTGTTGAAATATTTAAAGTTAAAATTGGCTTTGCTTGTGCTTGAAATCATATAAAGATGTGCTATAAACCAATTTTATTCTAACCTCTACCAGGAAATAATCATTTTTACTATATTTTTATGATTGATTAGACATGTGATCTGTATTCTGTAAACTCGATGATGTCGAGCTGTCAAATGCCATTAACGAAAATTCCGCGACATCGCTAAAACTTTATGACCCTTGGGGGACTACTAAATATTTTTCAAAAGTAATAAAAAAAATTATGGGTTGTTAAGAGACTGCAAAGAAACTTTTAAGAGGGACTGCATCAAAAAATTCAAAATAAAAAATTTTTGGGACACCCTAATGCACACATGTTAGAGTAACAAAATTCCTAAAAGTTTTGTTTGTATCTAATTTTAATTTTTATGAATTGCATTTTTAAGTCATTAATTCAATTTAGTTTATTTTTAAATTGAATTTTTTTTTTGTTTTAAGTTAATTCACCTTCGTATAGCCAAGAAAATCACTACAGTCAAGGAGGCTACTTTAATTGTGGTTACAACTCTCAACTCTATAACTCTGAAACAGGAACCTTGACGAACAAGACTGCTATGCGGGGAAATAAGTTAAGCGTGGTACCACCAGGGATGTGATAGAAATCAAACTTGGAACCTCTCGCTTATGAAGCAAGCCTTTTACCACTACACCACTACCACATTTTGTTCAAATGTACAAAAAACAATTTTTAATAAAAATTATTAATAATAAGTAATTTACATACAACATTACATAAGAAAGTGTTAGAGTTGCCATTTTTATTTTAATTACTTTTATCTTTAACTTAAATTAATTCATCTTTAAAATAAATATCAAAAAATTATTTTAATGAAAACTTCTTTTTTTTATTTTAATTATTTTATTTTTTAGTAAGAGTAATATATTTAAATAAGTCTTTTTAAATGTAATCTAAAAATTAAAAAAAAAAAGGAAACCAAAAAACTATACAAAAATAAATGGTTTGTAAAATATAAACTTTAAGTAAAAAAAAAGCATTTGTTATTTCATAGCAAGTTAATATCAAAGTTCAGAAAAAAAAAAAAAAAAAAAGCATTTGTTTTTTCATAGCAAGTAAGTTGATATCAAAGCTGATATAAAAAAAAGCATTTGTTACTTCATAGCAAGTTGATATCAAAGCTGAGAAAAAAAAAAAGCATTTGTTATTTCATAGCAAGTTGATAATAAAGCTGAAAAAAGAAAGATTGCTTAAAGATTTAATTTAATTATTTTTTGATTTAAACAAAACGTTTTGTTACAAAGCCGCAAGAAAAAGTTGTGGTGTCAAAAATTCAATGATTTATACAAATCTTCAGCTTATACTGGCAAACTATTGACGTAACATTATTTGTAGGTGTTGCATCAAATAAATTTTTTATTTTTAAAGATTGAACTTTTTTACATTGTACTTGATGTTATAAGAAGACTTTGCAAGAAATTAATTGCTTAACTTAAGTTGCTTTTTTTACGTTAATTTACCTCCCAAGACTGAGAAGGCCACTACAGTCGAGATGGTTACTTTGGTTGTGGTTACAACCCCCTCTCAACTCTGAAAGCAAACATCGCAAACAAGGTTGCTGTGCGGAGAAATAAGTTAAGCGTGATACTACCAGGGACGTGGTGTGGATCGAACTTGGAACTTCTTGGTTATGAGGCAAGTGCTCTGCCACTACACCACTACTGCATCAGTTACTTAAAATTTTATGAACTACTAGCAAGAGAAATCTCAAGTAATTTTTTAATATAGATTTTAACTGCAGTTAGGGAAATTTAAACTAAATTATGCAGAAAACAACAATTTTCTATAAAATTTTAAATTTTAAAAACAGAGTTTTAAAATAGTGATTTTCTTAAAAGTTTTATTTCATTAATAAAGTATTATTTCTATCATTTTTATTTTTAATAATATTCAAAAACTATTAATTTGCAATAATTTTCAAAACTGTGAAAAAACTTTGCATATAATTTAGCAAACTTTAGCTGGAGAATTGAATTTCTGTTTACCTTAAACTGGGAATTTCAATTTTATAAGCATTAAGAAATACAGTGTATTAATTATATATATATATATATATATATATATATATATATATATATATATATATATATATATATATATATATATATATATATATATATATATATATATATATATATATATATATATATAATACTATTATAAAATGCTATTTAACAAAACAATATTTTTAATAATAAAAGTAAAAATAAGAAAAAAAAAAATCACAATAAAAATTCAAAAATCTTACCAACTGTCTTCTGAATTCATATCAGTATCATATTCAATGTTTTCTAAAGGTTCAATTTCATCCAATGAACATTCTTCAATAAAAGATACTTTTTCATCATTGAAATTATTTTCTACTTTTACAGTGACGCTGTTACTTACTTCAATGTCATTTACTAATGAATGCAGTTTACTAATATTATCACTTTTTACAACTTTAGTATAACCATTATTAATAGGTATAGCATAGTCTATTGAATCCATTAAAATAAATAAACTTTAAAACATGATATCTTGCATTTGAAGTTGATATTAATATACCTAAATATTATCAATAATAAACATTTTATATATATATATATATATATATATATATATATATATATATATATATATATATATATATATATATATATATATTATATATATATATATATATATTATTTTGTGGATTTTTAAAGAACAATGAAATTAAATTAGTTTTCTTAATTAAATTTAATGGTTTTTACATAAAGTGAATTTAATTTTGTCATTTTTAAAGCCAAAAGAGTTAAGAGTCATTGAGAGCCATTTTTTTACCAGAAACTGTAAATTTAAAGCCTAAAATAAAGGAATATAAAGACAAATTTATATATATATATATATAGTATATATATATATATATATATATATATATATATATATATATATATATATATATATATATATGTATATATATATGTATGTATATATATATATATATCTATATATATATATATATATATATATATATATATATATATATATATATATATATATATATATATATATATATATATATATATATATATATATATATATATATATATATATATATACTCACATACATTTACATATTTATAAATATAAACATAAAAAAAAAATCTTTTGTTATATCATTTTGTTATATTGCTTAAAGTTGTGAGTGCTGGATAGTTACACTAGAGCTATTTGTATAAATACTGTTATCCGCAGTACCAGGAATTAGCATACAGCTTCTATTTATAGTAATATTGATTATAAAATTTAGCTTTGCAACTCAGGGTTTCATTTGTTTTCACAATCATCAAGCAAGCAGCAGAAATATTAATTTTGATACATTTTTTGAATATATGTATGCATGTATGTATCTTTGCATGAATGTGTGCATGCATGCATACAATGTATAACTATAATTTAATACACTGTATATATATATACATATATATATATATATATATATATATATATATATATATATATATATATATATATACATATATATATATTATATATATATACATATAAATATAATAATAATAATAATAATAATAATAATAATATATATATTATTATATATTGTTTTATTACATACATACATACATACATATATATATATATATATATATATATATATATATATATATATATATATATATATATATATATATATATATATATATATTTATATATATATATATATATATATATATATTTATATATATATATATATATATATATATATATATATATATATATATATATATATATATATATATATATATATATATATATATATATATATATATATATACATAGATATTGGTCAAGTTTTATTATATATATATATATATATATATATATATATATATATATATATATATATATATATATATATATATATATACATATATATATATTATATATATATACTATATAAATATAATAATAATAATAATAATAATAATAATATATATATTATTATATATTGTTTTATTACATACATACATACATACATATATATATATATATATATATATATATATATATATATATATATATATATATATATAATATATATATATAAATATATATATATATATATATATATATTTATATATATATATATATATATAATATATATATATATATATATATATATATATATATATATATATATATATATTTATATATATATATATATATATATATATATATATACATAGATATTGGTCAAGTTTTATTATATATATATATATATATATATATATATATATATATATATATATATATATATATATATATATATATATATATATATATATATATATATATATATACATTATTTTATATATATATATAAAAAAAAAACTTGACCAATTACGTCAAAAGTATATAAATTTATATAACTCTTTTTAAATTTTTTAAATGAAAATGCTACGATTTTATAATAAACATTTAAATTTCTTGAAATAAACTCTCTTGAAATAAACATCTTTTTCATTTTTAATTGTGTAGTGCATTAAAACTTTATATGGATTAAATATTAAAACTGATGGAGCACCTTGGCAACCTAAAGTACAGAAGTTTTTTTTAACGCGTTACTTTCATGCAAGAAGCCCAAAGTTCGAATCCCAGCTATCCGAATATAGAAAAAACTTTACTTTTCAAGAAAATCGGAAGTTCAATTTCCGCTCCCAGCCACCCAAAAGTTTGGGTGTGAAATGCCAAGTAAATGCTACTCAGCTCGGAAAAATGTCAATAAAAATGTGAAATAGTGATTGAGGTGCTCTAAGAATGTCCTAACGGTCTTATCACAAAGCGCATTTAACTAGGAAGTTCACGCCTCCTTTATTACTAATGATGCATATAAGGCCAGAGCTGGCTTCGAACCACGAACCTCAACTTCTGGAGGTCAGAATTCTAACCACTACGCCACGGCTGCTATAAGCTATATTCCAATGCTTTATTTCAAATTTTATGAAACCTATAAGGTTTTACAATTTTTTAATCTACTAAGTTAAAAAAATTGGTATCACATTAGGAATTGCAACGACGTTTTTAGATAAAATGTAATATATATTTAAAATTTTTGTTAGTGCAATGGATGTTCCTTTTGTCATTTCAAACTACACTGCAGTCCATAATTAACCCACTATGTTTCACAGTTAGTAACGCACATTTTTTGTATCTTCCGTTCGCCGAATTTTCTTCGGACCTTCTTTTGGAACAAAAGAAGGTCCGAAGAAAATTCGGCGAACGGAAGTTTTGTCCACTTTTTGGCTCCAGTAACTTTTTTTATTTTTTTTTTTATTTTTGAGCCGAAGAAAAAATTTTCTCGCGTCTATTTTGCCACCAAGCTCTGCGCCTCTTTAGCGTTGTTACAGATACCGGAGCTCCGTGAAAACCTTCGACCATATAAACTGATAGACATGCCTTACCGTAAGTTAACATTTACAAACTTTTGAAGCCAACATCTTTTAGCGCGTGACGTCACGTTTGGGCATTTAACAATTTATAATATGGGTTTAAGGCGAAAATAACTTGATGTATTTAACACTTTTAAAGCTTTAATATTTCTTAAGTGTATTATTTTGTTGAAATTTTAGTTTTCAAATAAAATATAGGTGTATAAAGATCATGGTTTTATCTTGTTCTGCATATAATTGCACTCAAAGATATACTAAAGGGATTTCTTTTCATGGGTACGTAGCTAAAATCGTTCTTTGCTAAGATCCTACGTTATATTTTAAATTTTAATAGTATATTAATTTAATATACCTATTTGATATTTTTTTTTGTTGGTAGTTTTCCAAAAGATTTAGAATTGAGGAGAAAATGGATACAAGTTATGCGGAGGGATGGTTTTACTCCTAGTAAACAGTCTAAACTTTGTGGTAAACATTTCACAATTGATTGTTATGAAGGAAGTCCTTGGAGTTCACAAAAGAAACTAAAAAGTGATGCAATTCCTTCTATATTTGATTTTCCAACACGTTTAAAAAAAAGTACTTATTCTAGAAAACCACCAAAAAACAGACAAAGTATTATTTCAAATAATATCACCAATGATTCAATACAGTAAGTCTAATGCAACTAATCCTTTTGCAATGGCATATATTGATTTAAAATTATTAAGTTTACTTTTTGTAACATAATACCTATATATATTTTTAGGAACAATAACGTTGACAATTGTATTATTAATGTTAACAATATTATCACCAATGATTCAATACAGTAAGTCTAATGTAACTAATCCTTTTGCAATGGCATATACTGATTTAAAATTATTAAGTTTACTTTTTGTAACATTATACCTATATATTTTTAGGAACAATAACGTTGACAATTGTATTATTAATGTTAACAATATTATCACCAATGATTCAATACAGTAAGTCTAATATAACTAATTCTTTTGCAATGGCATATATTGATTTAAAATTATTAAGTTTTCTTTTTGTAACATAATAATTTAAAATTTAAGTTATACCTTTAGGATTATTTTGTTTCAGTCAACCTACTGTTTAAAAATGGTTTTAATTTAGTAATTTTTTATGATTAAAAATTTACTACAATCATTAGATAACAGTTAGGAAAAAATTTAATTCATTACAATTACGGTAGGAATAGCAATGAATTAATTATTGTATTTGTCACAGTATTAACTGTTGTTATGATTGTAATGCTATTGTAATAATTTGGTGTATGACCCTTTTTTTAATTTTAACTATTTTTACAAGTGTGTGTGTTTGGGTTATTGTGTATCATTTACATAAAATCTGTTTGGCTTTTTACTATGCTATCATCTTGATATCCGAATCAATAATTTTACTTGATTAGGTTATCAAGTATAAATATAATATTGTAACGAATAATATAATAATTTATTTAATCTATTTAATTACAGGGAACTATGTCTGAGTCTACAAAACAGTTGTTTTGTCGGATTTTACAAGGAAAAGTTAAAAAGCATTACCCACCAGAGTTACGAAGCTTTGCTTTAACATTAAATTTCTATTCTGCTAAAGCATATAGTTATGTTAGAAAAACATTTAATAATGCACTTCCTCATCCACGAACTATACAAAAATTGTATGAAAGTGTTGACTGTTCCCCTGGATTTAGTAAAGAAGCTTTAGTTACTCTTCATAGCAAAGTAAAAGAGGCTCAGAAAATTGGTCAACGTGTTGTTTGTTCCTTGATGCTAGATGAGATGGCTATTAGAAAAAAAATTGAATGGACAGGTCATAAATTTTCTGGTTTTATTGATTTTGGTGCTGATGTTAATTATGATAGTTTACCCGAAGCAAAAGAAGCCTTAGTTTTTATGGTTAACTGTGTTAATGGACGTTGGAAGCTTCCTGTTGCATATTTTTTAATTGATGGTTTAGGTGGTTTTGAAAAAGCTAATATTGTTAAACATTGTTTACAGTTTATTTATGAAAGTGGTGCAGAAATTATATCGCTTACATTTGATGGAACGGCTTCAAATATTAGTATGGCAAATTTTTTAGGATCCAATATTTCTATTGAAAACATGAAGACTTGGTTTCC